TGTCTCCTAAGTTCATGGGGCTGCTCAAAATAATTACTGCCATCTTGTTCGAAAGATAGTAAAAGCCTACTTTGCGTGTGAACAGAGTTGAAAACTTATATGATCCCGTGCACACTAACGTATTAAATAATATCAAAACCTGTAAACGTAGATTTATGAGAGTAAAATACAAACTTTTACATTTATGCATTTGCATCCTTTTATCCAAAGCGACTTACACCATAACCCTGTGGGAAAAAAGAATGCAGCTAGCAATAGCCCATGAAACATCACATCAGCTCCTTTTTGGATGAGTGTGAACAGATTTGGCCATAACTGTTTGGCTATATTACCTATTGCGTACTTGTAGACCTCAGAAAAACTGGTTTAAATGTTAATATCATGATTGATATTACATCTAGCCTACTAAATGTTGAGCAGTTCGTGTTATGGCATTGTTAATAAAATAAGTTTCCTGGATACAAGCCTTTACAAAACATTTTGATGGCGTAAAAGTACGTCGATTAAAAGTCATTAAACTGTAAGATAATTTAGATTCACATTCAATTGAATATCTATTTCACGATATCACTTTCACAAACTGCAACTTATTCTTTCACTGACTGTAAATATTATTAATAATAATAAAAGTAAGAAATATATAATAGCCTATATCTAAAAATATCTAAATAATAATAATAATACAATTACCATAAAAAGAACAGTCTGTGTAATTCGTGCGGCAGTGACTATTTACATTTGTAACTTGGATAGTTACAATGGAGAACAGTGAAATAATATCTGAATTATTCAGATAATCTAGAAACACAGTGAAGTTTCTGAACATTATAAAAGTATTTTAAAAATAATAATTCAGGCTGCGCTTGTATTTGATGTCTGTCGTATATATATATATATATATATATATATATATACACACACACACACACACGCGCGCGCGCGCGCACACACACACACTTACACTTCAAAGTTTGCTGAGTAATCTGTCAGTACAGTGGTCAAATACTTTGTCTTTATATTTTTGCCATCATCGCATTAACTTGTATAACGTAAAAAAACTATAACTTTCAAAGGCTTAATCAAGAACACAATTTAAACTATTTTTTAACTTTCGATACCACCACGTGACCAAATGCATGTAAAAAGATCAAATCTGGACACCTGTCTAACAAACCATTTCACAGCATAGGCTAAAACAAAACCATTCAAACAATTGCTTTGCTCGGTAAATGCATCTGATTTTATTGTTAAGTGTATATGAATGAAACTAATGATGGGTTTGGAGTTTATTGTTTATTGATCCCAAAGGTTACATGCAGTCGCTTTCCAAAAGTAAAATACAAATAAAAACGAAGAGATGCCCCCATAGCCGTTCGTATTAAGCAATGCATTAAACGAAATCCCATTCAAATGAAACGATGAATGGCCTTTAAAACATTTTTAAAATGTAAACAAACGGAATACGCGACTGAGGATTCCTGGGTCAATTGCAATCTAATTTAACAACGATATCAAATAATGTTGATATCAACAATTAAGACGTTTTATCATGTTTATTAACAATAGATCATGGCATTACATTCTAGAAAAATACCTCTATCAAGGCCCTCCAAATCAGCTTTGCAAGTAGGTCAGTCGACAAACATCCATAACTCTCTGTGTCCATTGCTTGTCTCTTTTGTTTTGTTACGCTAAACGTTCACGTACAAGCGTCCTTTTGAAAGGCTCCACATGTTTAAGAGCCAAGGTCGACCAAGTTTGATGACATAGGGTTCAGTATAGTGTCGTGTAATGAATGGTGGTGGTGATGATGCACGGAATCAGCACTAGGCACTGGGATGGCGCTGGGACCAGGTGGAGGTGCGAGGCCGTGGAGGGACTGAAGTCCGGAGTTTGACGTGAGGAGCAAGGCCGGACTTGACGAGGTGTGATCTGGGGTACCAGACGGCGTTTTATCGTCGTCCGAGCTTCCTAAAATAGTCTTATTTCCATTCATGGAAGACGTTAATGGGTTGTGACTGTTTGTGTTCGAGTTCTCATTATTCTCCCTGTGAAATGACAATGCAGAGTTAGGGTTAGAGCTTATTCAAAACTATACACTGTATAAAAAAACAAATATGATCAATGGGTACCAATAAGTAATGACGTGATTTTTTTACATTGCTTTAATTAATCAAAAATAAGTCAAGCAATGTTCAACTTTTTTTATTAGTAATAGCCTACAAGATTCAACTAATTTTTCAAGTCAGTTTAATGCAATTTAAGTTGAAATTACTTAAACATCCAAGTTCATTTTACTTAAAGGCAGCAATTTTCTTTTTCATTTTTTCTTTTACAGTTTATGATGACAAATAAATATTAGCATAGTGGCTAACATCTTATAATATAGGCTATTAATACTAATAATAAATATCGGCCAATTCATTTAATTCTATAACAATTAATATTAAGTTGAAGACAGCGGGTTGGTTCTGTAGGTGTGAAATATTATTGTAAATTAAGAAAACATCTTAAGTTCAGTAAAAAAATAAATAAAAGGACATTTTTAAAATGAATGTGGCCATGAATTAGGCTATAATATAACCCTTGACACAAATATTTAGGCCATACACGATTTGTGTACATTTGTATTAATGTATATCAATTATTTGTTCTAATTCGTGTCGAGCTAGTGCAGGGTATAGGCCCTAATAATTTATTAATATGGTTGGGAAATAAATCGTCGAGGTTAAGAACCGTGTCCACTACTGATTTTCAATCACAACTTGTCATGTAAAGGTTCTTTCATAAATTGTTAATTAAGGATAAAGAATCGGGAAACGTACGAGATATTTTTAATGGTTTACACTGTGGTTTCAACTTGACTACCTCGCCTGCGGGTGAAACAAGACACCCGTTAAGAAGGAGATTGCTCATTCTGAGAACTGCACATTCTAAACAAGAATCTATAACTCTTACAATCCGAAGAACATTCCAATTAATTAAAAATGGACGATTTCTCCAAAAGTTATACACACATTATGGTTTTTTGTGTATTTTTTAGAAAATGATATAAAAATGTCGTTTAAGAAGCCTATATGGTCAAAAAAAGTAGGCTATTGCTTAATAACTACATAAAGTGACATTAACAGAACTAGACAACAACAAATGGCATTTGACGTTGTGGCATCTATCAAAGGGAATTAAAAAAAAAAATCTTTTATCTTTCATATAAGAAACTTATAGCTACTCGCCTCTGGCTTAATTTTACGGCATGCGTGCAATAATAATGCTTTCTAATTACGTTTAAACACACAGGACTAATAAACAGTTATTTAGCTGCAGACTATAGACCCGTACCTTTCTTTAGCCTCCGCTGCTCGGTCGCGTTGACGTCTGTTTTTAAACCAGTTACTGACTTGTGTTGTTGTTAGCCCCGTTGCCTCTGCTAGTTCCCTCTTCTCCCGCGGGGAAGGGTAGGGGTTATGAGTGTACCATTCCCGCAGCACACTCCTGCTCTTTTCTTTAAAGCAGTAACTTGTCTCCTCGCCGTCCCAGATGGAGCGAGGGAGCGGAAACTTTCTTCGGACGCGGTATTTCCCAACAGCCCCAAGAGGGCGGCCCCGGAGCTTCTCAGCCTCGACATAATGCGCTTTGAGCCACAGCTGCTGCAATTTCGGATGGTTGTGCGGAGAGAACTGGTGGCTCTCGAGAATCTTATAAAGCTCTCTGAAATTTCCCCTATGAAAAGCGACCACAGCTTTCGCTTTGAGCACACTCTCGTTCTTGTGGAGATGTTCGCAAGCCGGCAGAGACCACAAAAAGCGCCCGAGACGTTCAATGTTTCCACCCTGCTGAAGGACCTCGCAGACGCACGCCACTTGCTCTTGCGTAAAGCCGAATGTTGGAAGCATAGACATGGTTTGTCACGAATAAACGTCCACTTTTTCTACTTATGTCTATTTTACCGACGACAGCGACAGTTCTTCAACAGATTTGAAGTAAAACGTTTGGAGGCACAATTTTAGGACGACTTCTCGAGTAGCCTAGACGAAATCAAATCCCACTCCTGGCGAAGAGAGGCACAAAACTTTAGATCCGTTCAAGCAAGCATAATAGACCGTATATCCATCTAAAGAACACGAAAGAAAGTTGTTCCTCCTGCGCGAGTCTCTCGCCACCTCTTCTATGTCGTTTCAGCATAACGCACTCCCGAAGAAAGACCTCGCTCTCTTGTTTTAATAATATTATTCTAAGCTGGCAAGAAAAGCGATTATGTGAACTGTGATTGGTTGGTTATCTGACCCGGGGATGATGAGGATAAGACAATAGTTTTAGTCAAATTATTTGCCATGGTTACGCTGTCATTCAAGGTAACCTGATATGCTTTGAGGTGGCTCCTTGGGCTGGCTGACAGATTATTCCCTTATTCCCTTCGTAGAGCCCGCCCACTGACAAAATATAGCCCCGACTTTCTCTGTATATTACCCTGGGGTTTGACAGACACTTCTAGCAACCAAAGAGCACTGATCTGTGATGTAGTGAGGTAGCAGCAGTTGAGATGAGAGCGCCAGAGCAGGATTGCGCTCCAGACGCTCTCCAAAACCAAGGACCCGGAGTCCATAAGTGGGAGTCCATAAGTGAGTGACCATACGCAGACAATCCACCCTGCCTATGCGAACCTTTCACTTTGTAACTGGTCGATCACACCAAAACTATTTCAACGTTTGGGGAAGTAGGGGAACTCTCAGAAATCATACACAGGGTCTCTCTAACTCTTTTGCAGTATCATTACTGCTATCAAATGTAATAAAATAAAATCACAATGACACAATATGTTTGCAAGAACGTCCAGCCTACATTTATTTAGTTTATATTTCTGTTCAATTCAGTGGCTTAATCGAACTAGTTGTCCCGTGTTATGCATTATTTAGCAGTTGTTGAGGATAAAAAGGGGGGTATGTTTCTCCATGTGCACACGCGTGGATGCCAGGCATTATGGACTAGTGGAACAGGGTTGGAGGGCGTATAAGTATAGAGCGGTTTTCAAGGATACACGTTAGAATGAACAACGATCATAGGGATAGGAAACACTGCGAGGGACGATTGTGCGGGTAAGACAATTTAGATTTATTGAAAATGCTGTTGACTAAAGTTAATCGAAGTATAAGATGTTCATGTGCATTATATGCATATTTATTATGAACCAAGGCTATAGAACATTGTTTTTCTTAAAGGATATTTAGCGAAAGTGTTACAGCTCCGAGAGGGAGAGGTGCATCTTTTAATGATGCCGTTACGCACACCATTATTGGCATATCATCTGTCCATGTCTGTTGACTGAACTTAAACTCACCGTGTACTGTGGCATAGAAACAAAGTTCTGCTTGCACTTTGATTTCAACCCAATGAGTCTTGAGGCCACAAGAAAGTAATGCAAAATCATATATTACATGAAATAAAAAAGCTGATACTGTTGAGACATGTCAGTCTTGTCATAAGAGAGAGAACATTCGTTTGGTCTGTCTTTGCAGTTTTATACTGCCCTGGTGCAGTGAAGGCCTGTGATGTGGCTTATGAGTGAAAAATACTTCAGAACGTATTCAAAACACGTCAAAGCGTGTAACATTCTGAAAGATTACAATGCTAAAATTCCCACCCACCCTTTTAACTGGCAATTTTGTGTAATAGTCGCAAGCTGGTTCTAAATATCTAGGCTGCACGTTCGATACAAGTGACGAATAAATGATAAACAGGTAATCAACGTCACAAGTGACGTATTTTGAAGACATTCTTATAATCTGATAAATCAAGAAAACTAGAATCTTTTGAATTCAATAGTTGATATTTTGTTAACAACAGCAATTATTTCACAAAATAAAATATAGCATTATATATTAATATAAACGACAACAGTCATAAAATCTACACTCAGATTACAGGTAAATTGTTAAATGTTGAATGTTTGCAATTAGTGTAAATGACGGTTGTTGATTTTGTGAAAAAAATTAATGCCAACCTCGGAGACAGCCACTGCCCTTGGAAATTGATATGAATGTATCATTGTTGCACTTTGCTGTGAGGAAACATTTCTTATGTTACTTTGATATGATATCCTTACCTGATGTAGATCATTCCCTGGACACTGAAACTATTACCGATATATTGCTGATAACAGCGAATTTAAGACTATTGAACCAATTGATGCTGATGTATAAAACGATCATCTATAAAATACACTTCAACACCCAACGCTATAGTGAGCTTATTAAGTGATAGTCACAAATGGAGGTATTTTACCAATCCTTTCCATTTGCGACGTTTTATTAAACTAAAAGCAGTATGTGAAGCAATGGAAAACACAAATTGAAAGGATTTTGGATGCTTTCTGAGTGTGTGTGTGTGTGTGTGTGTGGGGGGGGGGGGTGTCACTGACAGGCCAAATCAAGGTACTCGTCTCGCCTTGACACTGTTTGTAAACGGCTTGTTTCCACGGATCATTTTGATCAGAACTTCGAAGGACCTGCGCTGCTCGTCTGCACGGTGATTATTACAATGCTGATGAATGGGGATCGCGTTTCGTCTAATAGCCGCCCCCTGTTTTGACAACCTCCCACAGCTAACCGGAGAGCGCGCAGCCGCGACCTCCACTAATTGGACTGATTATTGCAAGATGTTTTTTCCTCTCTGGAAAGCGCAGGGTGGCGGCAGTGCGCGGCTGCTCCGTGGCTTGCACCACAAGACCTGATGAGTTACATTCTTTCAGACATGTCATGTTAAGCGGGAATAGAAACCAGACGCGTGGTGTCAATGTGCGGTTCGTTGGAAGAAAAACAAGACACCCATCGTATTAAATATTGAAATAACGTTTCAGCGCGAATAGATTAATTAGTTGCATTTAATAATAGCCTAATAATAATAAACACCTAGTCTATATAGGCTAAGTGTGCATAATGCAATCAATCATGATATAGGAAGCCCTATAAGACTTTCCAATCTACTTCTAAACATAACTCGAGAGACTAAAACAAGTGCACACACAATGTCTGTTATGTTTTCAGAATTGTAGGTTATTGTTTTATATCTCTGATCCGTTTTGTTGGCTGGTTGTAAAGAGAGATTCTTTTAAATTATAATGCTTAAGGTTGTGCGTGGAACATAATCATGTTGGACTTGCATTTGATGACCACATGCATTAATTCAATAAAAAAAAAAAACTGTAAAACTATTGTTAAGACCTAGAATTAAAGCACATTTTACTAGCCAGTAATTTTCGGATTTAAAGATTTCGAAAATAGATATAAATAGTATTTTATAACAAATTTTGAGACTTATAACCCAAAACATAAATCGAACACCTCCTATTAAACATATTAAAACTCACACAACGATTATACATTTGATTCGATTGGTAACGAAATTTATTAAATGATCTAGATCATTTTCTATTGTAGGCCGATGAGATCCTAAATAAGAACGATAATGTTGCCATCTATGCAAGTGCGTTTCTTCAAATGCGGGCTTGGACGCGTAACGCATTGATGTATGCAACACATTCGACTATTTTTGGCAGTTCCTGTACACTTAGTACGTCTTGACTTGAAACTATTAGAAATCTGTCTGGTTTATTGGTGCACAACTTAATGTGATTGTGTTCTCCCATGAGACTGTGTCGTGCGCGCGTCTTCTGAACGGTGACATTGGTTGTCTCTCTGATTAGAGACAGTTGCGCCAGTCTCTCAACTCAAGAATGCAGAGATATATGGCTAATGAAAGATTAGCTCAAAATAATATCAAGCTTATTTCGTTATGAAAATAGCAGAAATGATACAAGATAAAATAATGAGCACGGAAGCGGAGAAAAGTTTTTAATCATATTAAAATCCTCTGAATGTAAATTATAATTACTGGAGCAAGAAGTGAAATAAATAGCAAGGCAGCTAATCTTTAGATGAGAAAAAAGTCGAAACAAGTCAATTCAATGCTGGCATTTCTCTTGATATTGTAGGACAGTATTTAAGTCATATAATTTGTCATTTATAGTTTTCTAAAGATGAATGATATAAAATGAATAGAAAAGTAGGCTATTTGAGGAATCTCACTGTTTGGGCTGTGTGCGTGCAAAAACAAAGCTTTTTTTAAACATTGTGGTATGAAGTGTGGTAGTTTAATATTTAATACACCTGATATCAGTAATAATATTTTTGTTATGATGTGTTAGAAGTATGAGGTCCCTAAACATATGCTTATACTGTAACATTACTGTGATTATAAAACAATCAGAAAGTTGTGCAGATACATTCTGTGATATACAATGGATTACATGACTGAATTTATATATATCAGCTGAATGCATATATTCATATTTCATGAAGTGAAGAGGTAAGACAGAGGCTGGATGGTGTGATTCTATACCTTATGTGAAGGTGTATCAAGCTATTTTTCCAAATGCATTGAATTCAATTATAGCTTGTGCTTGATGAAATTACCATGGCATTTTAAAAGTAATAATATATGCATTTTCTGCAACTATAATAAAGTATTCTTGCCTGTTTAAGTAAAAAAAAAAAGCTGTATTTAGAATTATTGTAAAGATTACATGGCAATTGTTTGCATTTTGGTTAGATGTGTGTACAAACGTTTACATATTGTTGGCTCTCGGCACATGACTACGATTTAACAGACTTTCAGATTAAGGAAATGCACGTAAAATGCTGATCTTTTTCTATTATAGAACATTTACAATGTGATTGAGGTTATTTGCACTTTACTACTGCCTCGTATTGCACAGAATAATCACAGATTAAGCATATATACCATTTAAATGAATATTCATAGAATTTAATTGGTATAGTTTTTTAACTTACACATCTCTGTCTTGGAATATATGATATAAAAATGACTGGAAAATATATTTAATAAAATAGTAAACTAATAGTGTAATCAGTAAGATATATTAAATGGAGTTTTAACAGAACTGGACCTTTGAAAAGTGCTTGTTGGTTGAGGCTGAGAGAGGAGGCTTTTTTCTTGCTGGGATTGTTTTTCTTCAGTTTGAATACAACTGTTTTAGAATAATATGAACACATGTTTGTATTACTTGCCTCAGCTTTCCCATGTTTCACACTTCTCCAGGTCAGCATTGGTTTCTATCAACATCAAGGTCACTGAAAGAAAGGCCTGATGGCTGTTTTGCACTTAGACAATATAGGTGCAAAACAGGATGTGCAAGTATATCATGCATTTCTTGTGTGTTATGGCATTAACCTTGTATCACTTACTACTACCTGGTTGTTAATTAATATAAGAAATATAAATGAAAATAAAAGAGAGACAAGAGCACAATAAAGCAATAAGGGGCAATAAAGCATATGAGACTATAATAATGACAAGCTTACTTTTTCATTATAAAAAATAAAAAACTGTTTGTTTTACTTTTAAACATTCTTAATGTGCATATTTGTATTTTATTTTACATGACTTCAGCAAGAAGAAGAAAAAACACTGGTTGGATAGTTATCTCTCAGAAAATAATTTAGGGTTAAAAAAATTAAATTTAACACTATTTGTTTATTAAAGCCACCTCAGTTTCTGAATACCGTTAAAACTGTTGAACTGTTAAAAATATATGCCAATGTTACAGTAAAGTGTGTCAGAATAGGCACACTTAGTTAAATCATTTAAATATCTCTGATTACATTGCATGAAAGACAACTATCAAGTATAATGAAAAATGTCTGATAAAATGTCTATTTTTAGACATAACATTATCTGCAACACACATATTTATTCTTAAAAAAATATTAAATGGAAAACACCTACTATTTTACACCTATACATTATATATTTAAAAAATAATACATCCAGCCTGTCTAAATATACAAAACATACAAGCCTACTTCAGTGTTTGCATTTGCTTATAATAATATTAATCAGGTATTGTTTTTACAAGTATGTCTTTTGGCTGCAGGTGTGTGTGTGGTCCTAGTAAACTGTACGTTTTGGGTTGTGTGTTATGTCCCCACAAGTACAGTAATACCAGGCATTTCTGACCTTGTGGGGAAATATTAATTGGTCCCCTTGAGGAAAACTGCATATGTGTGTGTGTGTGTGT